CCAAGGCAAATTGCCGACTGGACAAACATTGTGCAAATAATGGTTGGGCATTCATAGGAATAAAGAAAGGAATTTTTAAAAAAATTAAAGGGAGGGGAGGAGCAGCTCAGAAATAGGTATAATGAACTATCTAGGAATGTTAAGAAAAATGTAAGGAAAGCAAAGAGAGACTACGAAATCAGGATAGCAAGAGAATCCAAGGCGAATCCCAAAGGATTTTTCCAGGTATATAGAACAAAGGTCAAGGACAAAGTTGGGCCTTTAAAGTCAGGGGGGGGGGAGGGAAGTGATCGATGACAGTGAAGAAATAAGCAAAGCATTGAACAGGTACTTTTTATCAGGTTTCACAGAAGAAATTCACGAGGAAATTCCAGAGGTGGAACTGATATTTAGGGGAAAGGATGAAGAGAAATTAAAGAATATGACTTTCAGAAAAGAGGATGTTCTTAAGAGGATAAATAAATTAAAGAAGACAAAATCCCCAGGGCCTGATGAAATTTTCCCTTGAGTCTTGAAAGAGTGTAGGGAACAGATTAGCGGACCCCTCGTAAATTTATTGACAAAATCATTAGACACGAGAGTTGTGCCAGACTTGTGGAAACAGGCAAATGTATTATCCATATTCAAAAAGGGAGACAGAGCATCAGCGTCAAATTACCGGCCGATCAGTTTGACGTCAGTAGTGAGGAAATTTCTTGAATCAATTATAGCAAATAGCATCCGATCGCATTTAGAGAAAAGCAAATTAATCTACGACTCTCAACATGGGTTTACAAAAGGAAAATCTTGTCTAACAAATCTGCTGACGTTTTTTAGGAAAGTCTTCGAGGGAGTAGATAATGACAAAAATTACGATGTTAGTTACTTAGACTTTAGCAAAGCATTTGACAGAGTACCGCATCAGAGGCTTCTGAGAAAAATTAAGGTTCATGGTATCGAGGGGAAAGTTTTAAATTGGATAAATTCATGGCTCACCGATAGACCGCAGAGGATCAGCGTAGATGGTGTTAAATCTGAGTGGGGCTGTGTAACCAGTGGGGTTCCCCAGGGTTCAGTACTAGGCCCACTCTTGTTCATAATCTACATAAACGATCTAGATACTGGGATCAGCAGTGACATAAGCAAGTTTGCGGATGACACCAAAATAGGGCGGCAGATTAATTCAGGGCAGAATGCAAATGCACTACAGGAGGATTTAAATAAACTGCAGGCGTGGTCAGAAAAATGGCAAATAAAATTCAACACCAGCAAGTGCAGCATACTTAAAATTGGAAGAACAAATATTGTCAATGTATATAGCCTTAACAACATCAACCTAGAGAAGTCGACTTGTGAAAGAGACTTAGGGGTACTTGTAAGCCCAGACCTACGGCCTAGAAAACAGTGCGTTAATGTTCGAAATAAGGCAAACAGAGTATTAGGTTTAATATCTAGAAGTGTAAGTAATAAGAGTGCAGAGGTCTTATTGCAACTATATCTTGCGCTAGTCAGGCCGCACCTCGATTATGCGGTTCAGTTCTGGTGCCCTTATTATAGAATGGATATCAATTCACTGGAGTCGGTGCAGCGAAGACTGACGAAAATGATTATGGGACTTAGAAACCTTCCATATCAAGATAGGTTAAAGAAACTAAACTAGCATTCCCTAGAAAGACGAAGATTGCGGGGAGATATGATAGATGTATTTAAGTGGGTGAAAGGAATCAATAAAGGGGATATCGATAAAGTTCTTATAATATCCGAGCAGGATAGGACTCGCAGCAACGGATTTAAGTTGGATAAGTTTAGGTTTAGGAGGGAGATAGGAAGGAACTGGTTCACAAATAGGGTGGTGGACGAGTGGAACAAGCTTAGCAACTTTGTAGTAAGTGCTGGAATGCTGGAATGTTTTAAAAGGAGGCTAGATAGATTCATGGATGATAGAGCGTGGTAGTTACTCTCGACAGGAGCTGCCATTCACAGGCCAACCGGCCTATTGCAGACTCCTTATTTTCTTATGTTCTTATGTATTTCATCATACGTCATGGGCTTATCCTGACGGGCGTGGTGGTAACCCATCCAGGGGTGTAGGTGTGGCTTGACCTAGTAGCACCTCGCACTTAAGCTTCCAGATAGCCATTGTTTTATACTTATAACGTTTATTTTAGCTTATATTATCCCCTCACTGTGTTCCCATTAATATTCTTATCCTTCTCCCATCATAACCTTGACTCATCCTTGTGTATTAGTTAATGTAAGCTTTTGAATTAAATGATGTTTATCTGCGCATGCGCCTATGGGTGGAGCTTACTGAGCTGGCTGGGTCTGCCCATCTCTGTCAAATGTCAATTCAGGCATTTGTCTCACACCAGCCTTCTTTGAGGACAACTGCCCCTGTCTTCCCTTCTGCCTTGTCTTTTCCAGGGCTTGGTTCTGGCCAGAGATGTCTATCTCTTCTCTTTTCTTCTCTGAGCCACCATGTGGCTTAGGTTTGTGAATTCTTTCCGAGAGAATTTGGGGTGGAAATCAGGGTTGCTTATGCTAATCTTCCAATTAGGAAGGATGTGCATTTTATTATGCCTTGTAACTTTTATTTGTAATAAGATAGCTTTACCTATGTGTTTCTGAAGGTCATTTTCATCTCATGAAGTCTACCCCACTTAGAGCTAGCACTAGCAGTTCAATTTTGTCTACCTCTGTACCTTTTGGGGTAAGTTTGGGCATAGATACATAGGGTTGTGGTAAGAGGTATACTGGTAACACGCAGGTGAGAAAGGTGTTATCTAACGTAACCCTACCAAACATCACAGGTTTCCCTGAGTCCGGTTTCCTCCTGTACTAACACTGGATATACAAATCTCCTGAACGGCTAGTAAACTGATAAGTGATGAATATTATAAAGAAAAAGAAGTTTAAGGTAAACTTCGGAATGACCTTATGCTTTCCAAATCTTGTTTATATAGCTGATGTACTCCTATTTATTCACGTTACTTTATATTACGTCACATACTGGTATATCGTTAGGTTTATTGTAGTTTCTTTAAGAAGACGTTTACGCCTGGCAATCAGTCACTTAACTATACAGTCACCCAGTCACTCAGGTGTTGGTCAGTTAACTAGCCAATGATTGAGCCACTCAGTCAATCAGTTAACTAGTCATTCATCCAAACGACTCAATCAGTAAGTTAGCTAGTCAGTCATCCAACAACTCAGTCAGTCAATAAAATAATCAGTCATCCAGTCACTCAGTCAGTCAGTAAACTAATCAATCATCCAGCCACTCAGTCAGTCAGTTAACTAGTCAATCCTCTAGCAATTCAGTCAGTCAGTTAAATAGTCAGTCATCCAACCATTCAGTCAGTCAATAAACTAGTCAGTCATCTAACAACTCAGTCAGTCAATATAATAGTCAGTCATCCAGCCACTCATCCACCCATTTAAAAAGTTAATCATCCAGGCACTCAGTCAGTCAGTAAACTACTGAGTCATCCAGTCACTCACTCAGTTAGTAAACCGTCAGCCATCCAGCCACTCAGTCAATTAACTAATCAGTCTCCCAGCCACTCAGTCAGTTAACTAGTCAGTCATCCAGCCACTCAGTCAGTTAATGAACTAGTCAGTCATCCAGCCACTTAGTCAACCAGTTAACTAGTCAGTCATCCAGCCACCCAGTCAGTAAACTAGTCAGTCATCCAACCATTCAGTCAGTCAATAAACTAGTGACTAGTGAATCATCCACCCACCCAATCAATAAATAAATCAATCATCCAACCACTCAGTCAGTCATTAAACTAGTAAGTCATCCAGCCACTCAGTCAGTCAGTAAACTAGTTAGTCACCCAGTCCCTCAGCCAATCATTAAATCAATAAATACAACAGTAATTGCCCTTTACCTCACTCACAGTGTTATTGAGGTAGTATATGGTGGTGGTGGTGGTGATGAAAGGTAGTGGTGGGGGGGTGAGGGGTAGTGGTGGTAGTGGGATGTTGTGGTGGTGGTGAGGAGGGGTAGTGGTGGTGGTGAAGTGTAGTGGTGGTGGTATAGGATAGTGGTGGTGGTGAGGGGTAGTGGTGGTGATGAGGGGTAGTGGTGGTGGTGGTGAAAAGCTAGTGGTGGTCGTGGTGAAAAGGTAATGGTGGGGGTTAGCGGGTTATTGGTGGTGGGGGAGATAATTGATGGTAGTGAGAAGATAGTAGTGTTGGGGAAAGGTAACGGTGGCGGTGGTGAGGTGGAAGTAGTGGTGGAGTGGGGTAAGGGTAGTGGTGAAGGGGTGGAGGAGGTGAGGAGGTAGTAGTGGAGGTGAGGAGGTAGTAGTGGAGGTGGTGAGGAGGTAGTAGTGATGGTTGGGGAGGTAGTGATTGTAGTGAGGAGATAGTGGTGGAGGTGAGGAGGTAAAGCTGGTGGTGAGGTGGTGGTGGTGGAGAGGT